CCACAGCCCAGAGTAAACCTGGCCACCCAGCTCCCACCCTTCCCTTCATTTCCTGCCTAGTGTATCTCTCCACATCCATATTCATTCTTCCTTTTTGGCTGCATTATTAGAATACAGGCATGCTGTCAACTACTCTACAAGGTTGGAATTTACTATTACCATTATATAAATAAGAAATCCTTGGCTCAAAGAGGTTCATTCATTTATTTAGCAAATATTTATAGACTGTCCTCTATGTACTTGATAGTATGCTGGGCACCAGGCACCTACATGATCAAACTTGCAATCTAATGAAAACTTGTCTCTAATGTCTAGTGACATTAAATAAGTAAACACACAAACCTACAAAAGCAAACTGTAAAAGGCAGCATAAAGGAAAAGAACTAAGACCTGTAGAAAGACTAACTGAAATGGAACATAGAGATATTGTGATGGGATCTGAATTGTGAGAAGGGGTTAGCGAAGTGGTGGGGGGGAGTGAATGCTCTGAGGCAGGTGAGGGGCTGGTTCCTTCAAGGAGGAAACCTGTGTGGCTGGCGTATAGTAATTAGTGAGAAGAGACAACAGACAGATGTGAGGCAAGGGACAGGAAGAAGCAAGACCACATAGGGCCTCCTGAACCACAGTGAGGTTTCTCAGTGCAATTAGTTCTAATGCTGTGACGACTTTGTTCCTTTTCATTCCATGTGTGAATGTATGCTGTGGTTCCGACCTGACCTGCCTCCAGTCTCTCCAAAGCCAATACATGGTGCACACTGTTAAGTAAGTCTTCCTATAAAAGTAACTCTTGCTTCTCCTTCCAAAAAAATTAAGCCGCTCCTCCCTTTCTACTAGATTCAGTCTGAATTACCTGGCCTGGGTTTTCAGGTTCCCTGTACTTTGACCTCTATCCCTAGATGACGGAAGCTGCTCTCCACTGTCAGTAACCATCCCCAGTTACCAACCTGATGAGTTTCCCTCCTTCCTTCATGCTCTCACACCCTGTGCAGGATCTTGTCTCCTCATTCAATCAGAACAGGGGTTCTTGGGAATTCTCTGGCAGACCAGTGGTTAGGGCTTGGTGCTTCCCCTGCCAGGTTCGATCCCTGGTTGAGGAACTAAGAGTCACAAGCTATACAGCACAATCAAGAAAGAAAGAAAAGAATGGGGTTCTTAACCTGCAGTCCACATGCCATAAAATTCAGGGGTCCGCGAGCCTGGATGGAATAAAAAGAGCCACTTTTATTTTTAAGAACATCTAACTAACTGAAACTTAACTTTATCAATGAGAAGAATAAGTCTTTGTAGTATCAGCAGTACCTGTAATGTTGTCATCAAGAGATCACCATCAATTAACACTTTCATATCACAGTCTCAAAATGGATATCTCTACATTAGTTGTCAGACTTGAAATAAATCATTTAACTTAATGTATTAGCATTCTTCCATCTATGAATTAGCATTCTATTAGTAAGGGAATACGTATTACTAGATACATTATTACCCAGTTCTTTAAATCTTTTGAAAACTGCATATTTTATTTATGCACTTACAAATATTATCATCAGACAAGGTTCAAAGGCTCCACCAAATTGCCCAAGTCCATAACACAGACAAGCTTAAAAAACTCCTGATTAGTCATACATTCAACAAACGTGAGGTCCTCACTGGAGCCCTCTCTTGTTCTGGGTTGCTCATATTACGTTGTTCTGCTTTTCCTTCTTATTTGATACTCTTCCACTGGTTCCACTTCCTATTCTTGCTGCCTGTGTGAGGATGTAACCCAGATCTGGATGCTTAACCTACAACTAAATTGTCCCATACTTCCTCCCTTACAAATCTCACCTACCTGCATGACAGATTCAAACGATACCTCAAAGGTGACTCCCAAATCTACCTCTACCAATCTTTTTCTCCTCAAACCTCAACCTTAGACTTTAAAATAACTGCTTCGCCTAAACAACCAGAATAACATACCATTTACTGGCAGACTTCCTGGGTTCAAATCCCAACTCCAGACACTTACTAAACATGTAATCATGTTTATTTAACATCTCTCGCTTTAGTTGCTTCATTTGAAAAATGGGAGTGATAACAGAATCTACTTTATAGGGTTATAAGGATTAGAAGAGTTCATACACATAAAGCCCTTTTAATAGGGTCTGAGACATTTCAAGAACTCAATAAATGTTAGCTACCACCAGCCTCATCGCCTTCCAACACCTGAGATTTTTATTTGGTGTTTATTAACAGGTACCGTGATAGCCACCACAGATATGAAGACAGAATTCCTATCCAATGATATAATTCCGATCAAGCTGTTGCTCAATAACTTTCAGTGGTTCCATATTAGGTCCAAACTTAACAGCACTGGAATTCATCGTATTGCCTCAAACAAATGTACCTTCCAGTCTCCTATGGCTCTCCTTCTTGTAACTTATTCTATCTGGCCAGACTGAACTGCAATGCTCTGTGAAAATGACCTGCTCTGTTCTGTCTTTTCTCACACAATCCCAGTGTCTCAAATGTTTATCTGATAACAATAATCTTGTCTCGTTACAATTACTTCTCCCATACTACACATGGAGCCCCCAACCACAAACACTACAATCTTACCTAAGTCACATACTTACTTAAACATCAACTTGCTTCAACATTTGCATACTCTGTGAGCACCTCTTATTGGCCAGATCCTGAGCCAGAAGCTGGAAGTTCGCTGCTGCTGTTGTTTTAAAGACTATAGCATGGACCTGTTCTCAGGATCAAAATCTAGTAAGGGAGAGAAATGTGGCTCACAGAAACGCCATTCACTGTGAAAGGTGAGAGATACCAAAGGATGAGCAGTCATCTCAATTTGGAAGGCAAGGGTAGGCTTTTTGGATGATGGTATTTGGGCCTTACATGGACTGAGCAAAAGCCCATTTCATGCAGTGAGAGCAGTATGTATGAAATATAGTGTAAAACAAAATGGCGTGTTGGGGAACAGTTCAGTATGGCTGGAGTATAGGGCCCGTGAACAAGTGGCTAGACATGACGCTAGAGAGGTAGGCAGACCTTTCTGGCCAGCACAGGAATTTGAACTTTATCACAAAGGCAATGAGGAATTAATACAGGGCTTAACAGTAGCATATGGCTCCGGTTGTATTTTGGAAAGCTCATTCCTGGCAGTGTTGTGGCAAAGGCAGAGAGGAAAATCTAGAGCAGCAGTGTCCCAGAGAACTTTCTCCAGTGATGGAAGTGCTCTGTAATTTGTCCTGTCCAATACAACAGCTGCTAGCCACACAGGGCTAATGAGAACTTAAAATGTGGCTAGGGCACCTGAGGAACTAAATTTAAAACAGTAGTGTTAAACAGCCACATATGGCTAGTGGCCACCATAATGAACAGTGCAGCTTTAGAGATAAGCAAATCAGTTAGGAAGCTGTTGATAGAGCTCAGGTGACTAGGGCAGACGGTGAGTCAATAGCTGTATCAGAGGCACAACGATAAGTCAAGGGGATACAAAACTGTGAGAAAAATAAATCAAGAACAGCTCCCAGATTCTAGGTTTTTTGGCTGAATTACTGCTATCAGCTAGGATAATACGTTAACAGAAGGAGCACGTCTAGGCTGCACATAGGTTGCACCGTTTTGAAAGTGTGGAAGTGTCTGAGGGCTATCTAAGTGGTAAATTACTGAGTTTTGCTCAGGAGTTGACTGAACTAAAGATACAGATTTGAGAGGCTCTGAGCCACTGAGTGAGATTCCTTAGAAAATATGAACACAATTAGAAGCCAACTGAGGCAAAATCCGGGCAATCATCAACACAGGCTAAAGAAGAGTCCACGAAGGCCACCAGGGCAACAGTAGGACAAGCAGGAAAAGAAACAAGTGAGAAGTAGTCACAGAAATCCAGGGTGTAGAGAAATTCAGGAAGGAAGCCTGATCAAATGTCAAATACTTCAGTGAGGCCAAATAAGGTGAGAGCTGAAAAGTGCTTCCTGATTCTGCCAATTAGAAGGTCCTTGGTGACATTTGCCAAGACAGTGTCAGTAGTGGAAGAAATGGGGTAAAGAACAGGAAATGAGGCAGAGAGGAAAATTAACACAATTTCAGGTCTTGACTGGAAAGGGGAGCTGACCAGTAAGGACATAACAGTCCACAAGGGGATATGATATTGATTAAGGTTATTTTCTTTCTTTCCTTAATTTTAGGTGGGGAAAACCCCTAGAAGGAAGGGAGCAGTTTAAAACGCCAATTGGTTGAAAATGGAAAGCTTGAAAAGAATAGAAAAAATAATAATAATAACAACAACAAAAAAAGAAAATGGAAAGCTTGAGTAACAGATCGGGTTGACAGGTCGAAAGGAAAATACGTGTCTTTAATCCGAAGAGAGGACTTTTAGTACTGATACAATAGTAGAGAGACACACACACGGCCGTACACAGGTGGGAAACGGAAAGCCAGAGTTCTCCGGTAAGTTGGCCTTTCTGCTCCGGTCTGTGGGAGGGGAGTGACGGTAATGAACTACAGACTGAACCACCATCTGAGGGTCATGGGTGGGATTACTGCCCAGGAACAAAGCTTTAGGAGCCAACCATCCCTTGTTATCTAATTCGGAAGCCTCTGTGCCTCCCGCACAGCAAGGCTCATCAATTTGGAAGAGAGCAAGGTTCATTACAAAATCATACCTGGGTGGCTCAAGCCCTAAGAATCCCAGAGTTGCTCAAAGCAAAAGGAAGTGATCAGAAAGCTATTAAGTTTTGCAGCATGCAGAATCGAGACACCCCCCCTCTCCCCGCCGCCCCGCAGCACTCAATGAAGTAAGGAAGTCTAGGTAGACTTCCTAGGTAGACTTTCTAGGTAGAATTGAGAGGTTACGGGCCTAAGACAAAGAGGTCGAACACAATGCCCACGTCAACCGCCCACACCTCCGCTCCCCGCCGCAGGCACGAAGAGGGTGGTGACAACACTCCCGCTGTGGAACCACACTACACCGCGGAGGGACCCCACCCTGCAAACCCTCACAACTCCGGGTCCAGGCCCCATCCTCCTCCACTGACAACAGCTCAGCAGCGCGCGCTCCCGCTGGATTCCGCGCCCGGGCGTCCCAAGCCACCCCTCACACCTGCGGAAAAGGAACCGAGTTGGGCCACCTCAGGACGCCCAGCGAGGCCGCCTGCAGTGGGGGATGGGCTGCTAAGCCGGGAGGGCGCGCGCCGCGCCCGATTCCGCGCCACCCACTGCGCGCGCTCCGAGCCCGGCCGCGGGGGGCACGGCGCCCGCCCTCACGCCTGCGCACTGCCGCTCTCCCGGCGGCCTCCCACTCTCCTTTCCCCTCCCCCAAGCCGGTCGCAGCCTTGCGCCTGCGCTGTGCACGTTCCCGGGCTGCGGCAGCCATGCTGAACCCGTACGGCGCGACTAGTTGGGGGGATAGGGTCGACGACAGCGGGATAGACAGCCGAGGATGTGGAGAAGCAGCGACGTTAGGGTGTTTTGGGTCTGTAGAGAAAGGCCTGGGCCATGCGGCCCCCTTGGCCCCTTGCACGACCCCCGAGAACCTTCGGAAAGACCGGCCCCCGGGGATGGTGGGGAGCGGGGGGGTGGCGGGCACGTGACCCTGATCAGCCAATCTGGGGGACGCTGACGTGGCCGCGCGGTCCCGATGCTCTCCCCACCCCCAGCTCGGCCGGGAAGGGAGGGGCTGGGGGCTACGCCCCCTCCCCCAACGCAACCTCAGTTTCCGGGGGGGGTGACACCCCGGATTACATCCTCCCCCCGCACCAAGCCAAGGGGAACAGTGGAGCCCCCCTGGAAGGTTCCGGGATCCAGGTGAGAAGGGGCCCTTGCCGGGCGGGCATGTTATCAGTCATTTAAATGCCTAACCAATGGTGGGGAGTCCGAGAGGGAGATTCTTGGGGTGCAGAGAAGAACCCTGAGGTGGGAGCACTTGTCCTTCAAACAGTTTACAGCCAATGGGAGCGGGGAGGGGGCGAGCAGGCGAGGGCCTCTCGAGTGGGGGAGGGGAATGGCCAACCTCTGTCTTCTTACCAATTGGAGGGCAAAGGGGCGTGGGGGCGGTGTGTCCCCTCGATTCCATTCGCCCCTTGGGGGTACAGGAGCCTGGAGCCAGGTGAGAAGGGATCCTTTTGGCGGCCGGAGGGTGGGGTGATCTAGTGGGCTGAGGAGTGGGAGTAGTGACTGTAGTTCCTACTCCTAGAGGGGGATGCTGAGAGTTGGCAACCCAGGCTGTGAACTGAGATTGTTCCAGGCGCCCACTCCCTTTCTCCCCAGAGGCTGTAGAAGGAGCATTTCTGTGCTGCTTTTGTGTCAGCGGTAGGAACCTGGCAGTCCACATGGCATGGTGGAGGTTACGCTTCGATTGGCTTATCGAATTTGTGTGCATTCACGTGGACCTGGCCTGCGGAGCCCTCTGAATAAACCTTGGTTGCCCCGGCGGGGGTCTTAGCTTAGCATGTGTCTATCACAGGCTGAGGAGAGTTTGCAGGCTAGAAGCTCGGGGTCTTTGGATCAGGAACCAGGCCCAACGGGGGTCTCGGGAGAGGTTGAAAATTGTGGCTTGAGACACAGGAGAGTGAATCTCGGGACCTGGAATGATTTCACAGCTCCCCAAGTTTCAGTTTTCTCCTGGGTGGTGTCTTTTGCCGTCTTCATCCCCTCCCCCATTCCTGAACAGTCTCTCCTTGTGTATTGCGGGGGAGGGAGCGGAAAGAAGGGAAGAGTTACTTTTCCAAATTACTGAGTACCAGTAGCCTCCCTTGTGACTCATTTGGGGGAAGGGACGATTGGGAGGCAGAAGAGAACAGCGATTTTCCGGAATGCAGGGAAATAAGCCAGAATGTCTGGCTGCCCTTCTACTTTCTAATAAGGCCCTGTGGTCTCTCGACCTCCTATCTTTTTCTTCCCTGACCGGCCCTCAGATAGGCCTCTGTGCAGACTTGCAAGGCCCCTCGTGGAAGAAAAGCAGATTTGGGAGGCTGGGCCGGGAGGGGGAAGGGAGAAGGCCTTTGCGAAAGTTGCTGTGTCATTGCTCTCCTTGCTGCAGCCACCCGGGCGGGCCCGCTGGTACTTTTGAGGCCGAGGCCTGATCGGAGTGGGGGAGGAGAGGAGAGACTGCCGCCCCTGTGCGTGGTTGCCCCCCACTCCCGCAGGGTTTGCCCGAGTCTGGTGGTCGAGAAGATGAAAGGTTGACGGCCATTTTAGACGCAGTAACCAAGGTTAAGGGCTGCTACGAAGGAAAGAGGGTAACAGTTCGAGGACTTACGCCCTCAAGAAGCCCTGCGGTTGGGGGAGGGGCTCTTATATTCGTTGATTTGCATGATTAATTTCCTTCTTCAGATACCCATAGGTTTTTCTTACTTGGTAGCCAGAAAAGGGGACGAGGAGGAGGGGAGAGGGCCCCCAACTAAAGGCTGGGCGGGGGAAATTCTTTCCCTCTCCGGTGGCTCTAGCGATCCTAACCTCGCGCTGCGGCTCTATTCACACGTAGTCTGTAACCTTATTCGGGTTACTGGGTGGTGGGAAAGATTGAGTGGGCTGGGGGGAGGGGGCGAAATTGAGCTCCCAAAATGGCTCCTGCCCCTCCTCGGAGGCGGACGGCCCGGGGGGAGGGGGGAGGGGAGAGGAGGGGGAGGGATAGTCAGAGCCGCAGCCGCCGCCTCCTCCGCTCGCCCTCCTCCCTGACGCTGACCGATAGACCAGCCGCTCCGTGGGGAGGACTCCGGACCCTCGTGGGGGGGATGGGGGAGCCCTTCCGCCCCCCGACGCCAGGACCCTCAGAGGGGGTGCGGCCCGCCTTCGGAGTGGGGGGAAGGGCGGGGAGCGTGGGGAGAGGTCTGAGCTCGCCAGGAGGGGGAGGGTGCGCACCCTGATTCGCCCCTCGAAGGCCTTGTTTTTTCCGCTCTGAGCCAGACACCGGAGAGAAGTTTGGGGAGGAGGTGGGTTTCATTTTGCAGGGTATACGGGTGCTTTTGTTGGAGATTTTGCTCCCACTAAAGGGTTGCCGAGTTTTTGTCGACCAGGTAGATGTTTGTATTGGTAACTGAAGGTATCAGAGGGAGGGGATTGAAGAGGTGCTTGGGGTGCAAGTATTTAGAACGTGGTCTCCGTATAGTTGCCTTGAAGAGAAGCCTTTGAGTTCACAGAGGGTAGACGATTATGGGGAGCGTTTTTGATTTCGATTGCTTGGCCTGGGGAAGGAAGGGGAGGATTTGAAGGCTCTGGTAATTCTGCACTTTTGATTGCGAAGCACAGGAACGTTAATTTCCTTCCTCGCTGTGTTTGGGAGCCTTCAGCCGTTTGCCACAGTGGCAGGCCGCGGCTTCTAAGATGGCGTCTTCTTCCTCCTTTCAGGTTCTTCACTGCGGCGGCCGCCTCAATCCCGAGAACAACCACCGCCGGCGTCCTGTGGCCACACCCCGGCGGGCCGAGCCTGGCTACGCCCACGCGGCCCCCCTCCAGTCCTGCGGCCTGGCCAATGGAGGAGCTACGAATGGCACGACCTGCCCAAGCTTGGCAGTCGCCAGCGGCACTGGGCTTGGACGGCTGGAAAGACTTTGTTGGAAGGGGAGGCAGGGAGAGGGTGCTGCACCCCTGCCAACCTCCCTCTTTCCCTGGAGTTGCCGAACCACAGCGCAGCCAATTGGCTCAGAGATGTGGCGGGTTGCCGCTTCCCTGGGGGTCTATGCGGCACTCTTCTGCCTGGTGACTGACGCTTTGGAAATGAGGTTTATGACGTCATCGCTCCCGCCGACCAATAGGAAACGCTCCCGCGGAGAGGTGTTCCTCCCCCTTCGACTCTGCTTCTTCACGCGCGTGAGCGAGCGAGCGCGCGCGGAGGGGGTGGGGGAAATCGCGAGCACGGTGGCGCGCATGAGCGGCGAAGCTCCTCCCCCTTGCCTATATATAAAGGGCTGGCGCGGGGCTCAGAGGCGCCATTTCGCGCTGGAGTGGAGCAGCCTCTAGAACGAGCTGGAGGATTCTGCGTATCTACACAGAGCCTTCGAGTCGTCTGGGGCCGCCATTACAATCCACGTCCATCCGCTTGGAAATGGCCTTCGTCTCGGCCTATGACCGGCCCCGGCGGACAGTACAGACCCCATAGAAGCCCCCGAAGCTCCCCTTTTTCGGGCCCCGCCCAGTTCTCGGAGTCTGTCCACCCCCTCTACTCCGCCCTCAAGAGGATTTCAAAGATGGAGGCGGCGGCTCCCTAAACCACTTTGGTGTTCATCCGCCTCCATCCGAGATCGAAACGGGACCTCGTCCGCCCCGGACGGTCCCGGCAGGAAGAGGGGATCCTTGCAGACCAACGGCGGGCAATATTGGCGACGGTGTCTGGGATTGGGGGCCGTCCTGGGGTTTGAAGAGCCCGTCCCCTTTCGCTCGCCCGCCTCAGCTGGGGCCGCCGCCATTTTCTCGCTGTCCGCCTCCTGCGGAGCGCGCCAAGCTGCTGGGAGTTCTCCGAAGAACAGCAGAGGAGATTGCTTTCGTGCCAGCCCGGCGGGGTGGGTTGTCTCCTGGAGGGCTGAGGGCAACGGCCCCCGCCCTCCCCCCACTTCCCGGGTTATGCTGGACCGGGAGGTAAGGGGAACCGAGGCCACCCGGACTTTACGCGGCTGAGGGCAGCGCCGGTTCCCTGTGGTCAAGATGCTGCAAAACGTGACTCCCCACAACAAGTACGTCCCTCCGAGCCGCGTGTGGGAAGGGGGAGCTGGGGGGCTGCGGCGCGCGGGCGTGAGGTGTTGGGTCGGAGGGAGTGCGGAACCGACTCGGGCGCGTTGCTGTTGCGTGGCGCAACTGTTGGTTGTCGAGGCTCGCGGAGAAGAGGGGTGAGCGGCGGTTTGGGGAACGTGCTGGCGGCCCCAGATCCTACGAATGGAGGGAGCACAGGTAGTCAGTTTACACATTACTTTTTCGCTGTGGTCAGATCTTGGCTGGGTTGGGCAGAGCGAGGTGGCGGCGGAATATGTAGTGGGGGAGGACTTTGATTGGGCAGCAGGTCCTGGGGGTCTGGTGTCTAAGCGACCGTTTGTCAAGCCTTTTGGGGCGGGGGTTCGTGGCCACATCTTGTGCTTTACAGGGTTGCTATGGTGATAGAGCTTCGGGGACTGGAAACGGGGATTCCCTGAGTAGGGTACAAGGACCCCTCTTACTCTGGGTACCTAATGTCGGGGATAGGTCTTTAAGTTCTTGATTTTCGGTGAGTGGTTTGGTTTTGTGTTGAGAGGTGTGTGTTTTGTTGCAGACGGTTGGATTTTTTTCTCGCGCGCGGGCGTGTGTGTGTGTGTGTGTGTGAGAGAGAGAGAGGTACCATTGAGAGTTTCCTTCAGGGTAGAAAGGTGGGGCTAAGCACTCTTTAGTCCAGCTTTGGGGATGTAAACAAAGATCTCGGTCTAATGTCTGTAGGGTTAGGCCTTGGATAACACCTGGTCTTGAGGAACCCCAAAGAGAATGTCAACTTGATACACTGTTGGCCTTTGATCTCTAGAGGTGATGCTAACAGTGGAACCTGTTCATGGCATCGCAGTTTTTGGCAGAGGTTGGGTAGGGGGAGGTCTGTATCACTTTTATGAGGAAATTTGCTGACCTTGACTGTTCGGACAGCTCTATTTTTTTGAGTCCCTTAGAGGGAGGAGACTGAATTTGCGAATAGTTAATTCCTGGAGGCTGGTGACTTGAGGTATTCCAGACTGTGAAGTCTGACAAATACTCCCTTGTCTGATTCCTTTTTTTTTGAGTTGGTATGGTTTTCCGTTAGATTGCTGGCCCGTTGTTTGGAGTTAACTATTTGGAGCTTCATGGAGGCTGCTGATCCCTTCTCACAGGTGGATTCTTAGGTGTCTGCCTCATCAGCGATTTATGAAAATTTCCTATTTTCTTTTTATCCGCTCCCCTCAGGCTCAACCACCATGGCAACCACCAAGCCCCTAGTGAGGAGGAAGCTTGGGGCTTGAGTTTCTTGGCTCCACCCATTTTGCTTAAGTTCTGTCCCCGAGGTTGTGATTTTTAAATGGCTGGGCCCTATGAGAAGCTACTTGGGCTGCTTTTTCCCTTTAAAACAGGTGAAGAAGCCTATCAGATTTTAAGAATTCAGAAGATAGGGCTTCTGTGGGCATAAAAAAAGGTGATAAGAGGTACAAAACAAAAAAGCTCCACGGACTGTTTGGATACGAGATTCCTTTTCATAAACTTGACCACTGTTTTCGCACTATTCCAAGCCTAGATGTGCTGAGGGTACATAGTGCAAATCTGTGAATTGTGGAATTCTAAATTCCACCAGATTGCCACATCTGATTTTGTTTCCTATCTTCACAGGCTCCCTGGGGAGGGGAATGCAGGGTTACTGGGCCTGGGCCCAGAAGCAGCAGCGCCTGGGAAAAGGATTCGAAAGCCCTCTCTATTGTATGAGGGATTCGAGAGCCCCACAATGGCTTCAGTGCCGGCTTTGCAACTAACCCCTGCCAACCCACCGCCTCCTGAGGTGTCCAATCCCAAAAAGCCAGGACGGGTTACCAACCAGTTGCAATATCTGCACAAGGTGGTGATGAAAGCTCTATGGAAACATCAGTTTGCATGGCCCTTCCGGCAACCTGTGGATGCCGTCAAACTGGGTCTGCCGGTAAGTAGAGAGGTTCAAGTGGCGAGGTATGGAAATGAAAAAGAGTGCGTGTGCGTGGAGGTGGGCTGCCAAGTGTAGGTGCTGCGGCCCCTAGGGAGCTCCCATTTCTACCCGGTAGGGCAGATAGCCACCAGATTTCTAGATTTTTGGTCCTTTGTGATTGATCCAACCGCTTGCTATCTAGGATCTCATTGTGTCCTTCCCTAACTTTTGTGCCCTGGCTCCATTTTACAGATTCCCACCCCAGGTTGGGAGAGGACCACGGTGGCCAAAATTCTTAGCTTCTTCCTTTCCCTCATGCAGCCCATGGATAGCCAGCCCCAGAGGTAATGTCACAGGATGGGAAACTTCCAGAGTGGGTGGGAGATGGGTGGTTAGAGCAAGGCAATAGAGGTCTCCTTACGGGTGATCCGAGTCCTGTTCAATTTTTTATCCCTATCCCATAGTTTTAATTGGGGCCGCAGTTGAGGAGACGTATGTACTCCTCTGACAGACTTGGGGGGGGGGTGTGTGTGTGTGTGTGTGTTGGGGTTGGTAGTTTGCCTAAGAACAGGCATTTTTCTTTCTGTGGTCTGACCTACCGCTTCTTTCTTTAGGATTATCACAAAATTATAAAGCAGCCTATGGATATGGGTACTATTAAGAGGAGACTTGAAAACAACTACTATTGGGCTGCCTCAGAGTGTATGCAGGATTTCAACACCATGTTCACCAACTGCTATATCTACAACAAGGTGAGCTTTTGTGTGTTGTTGGGGAGAGTGAGTGCATTTCTTAGCACTACTTTATCATTGTAAAGTTTAAATCTTTTATTGAAGGTGTTCTCAGTAGTTTGGTATCTAGAAAATCTGTTTTGCCAAGGTACCACTGAAAACAGTGATGTGGTTTCAGAGATCCAGAATTAAGAGATATTTAAGTACAACACTTCTGATGTTGTGAATAGTGGCCTTATTCCTTAGAGATCTCCAGAGACCTGAGAAGAGGAGGGAACTGAGATCAACTCTGAATCTCTCACTTCTTTTCTTTGTTGCATTTTGAGGGGCAAACTTGGAAGAGATAAAGGGGAAATTAGTGGCCCAATATAGGTAATTTTTAGTACTTTGATGAAGTTGTGTAAGGGAGTGGTGCGCATGCCTGGGGCTAGGTATTTCCAGAGAAAATGGTTTTACCTCCCTCTCCCTAACATTTGAACTTTTTGTGTTTCCTGTAGCCCACTGATGATATTGTCCTGATGGCACAAACGCTGGAAAAGATCTTTCTGCAGAAAGTGGCATCAATGCCACAAGAAGAACAAGAACTTGTGGTTACTATTCCTAAGAACAGCCACAAGAAAGGGGCCAAATTGGCAGGTAGGAAGAGAAGTTTTGCCAATAGAGACCAAAAGATGGGAATGATAATCAAACTAAACTCTTTTTCTCCCCCTCCAGCACTCCAGGGTAGTATCACCAGTGCCCATCAGGTGCCTGCTGTCTCTTCTGTGTCTCACACTGCCCTGTATACGCCACCACCTGAGATACCTACCACTGTCCTCAACATTCCCCACCCGTCGGTCATCTCTTCTCCCCTTCTCAAGTCCTTGCACTCCGCTGGACCCCCACTCCTTGCTGTCTCTGCAACTCCCCCTGCACAGCCCCTTGCCAAGGTATACATCTGTGGATATCTTTGGGGTAATGAGGGAAAGGTCTTAAATGGGGTGGATCCAGAGTAAAAGGCACCTGTCTTTTCTCCGCAGAAAAAAGGGGTAAAGCGGAAAGCAGATACTACCACCCCTACACCTACAGCTATCCTGGCTCCTGGGTCCCCAGCTAGTCCTCCAGGGGGTCTGGAGCCTAAGGCAGCACGGCTCCCCCCTGTGCGTAGAGAAAGTGGCCGCCCTATCAAGCCCCCACGCAAAGACTTGCCTGACTCTCAGCAACAACACCAGAGTTCCAAGAAAGGAAAGCTGTCGGAACAGTTAAAACATTGCAATGGCATTTTGAAGGAGTTACTGTCCAAGAAGCATGCTGCCTATGCCTGGCCTTTCTATAAACCAGTGGACGCTTCTGCTCTTGGCCTGCATGACTACCACGACATCATTAAGCACCCCATGGACCTCAGCACTGTCAAGGTACCCACTGCATGGGGCAGATGGGATACTCAGGCAGTGATTGGAACCTAAGGATCAATAAAACAGTCACTTCTTATGGGCACGCAGCTATCTTGGCGTTTTACTTTTTCAAAATAGTGAGGTAGAAGGTCACCTACTCTAATATAATGAGTCCACAGTTTCTGGAATTGGAAATACTGTGGTGGGTTTTACGTTCAGGGCATCTCTGCTTCTACCTAGGTCCTGTCTATTGGAAGTGTTGGGCTAGGGTTAGAGGGGAATAAAGGGGGTAGTCCAATAGTTAGAGGCCACACACACCCCCTTTCACTTAGAAATACTGATTTTTTTTCCCCTAGACATACATATTTCTTCAGCCCACCCAAATTCCTTTGACTTCAAACTTGAGCCCCAGGGTATAGATCCGGTCACACATGTCCCACCCCCCACTGTGCTGTCTAGAGGGCTGTTCTTGGCAGTGTCTGGGCCTGGCAGGGAAAGGTGAGTCTCCCTGCCTGTGCAGCTTCTGATGCTGCCTCCTTCTGCAGCGGAAGATGGAGAATCGAGATTACCGGGACGCACAGGAGTTTGCTGCTGATGTGCGGCTTATGTTCTCCAACTGCTATAAGTACAATCCTCCAGACCATGATGTTGTGGCCATGGCGCGAAAGTTACAGGTGAGTGTCAAGGCCAAAGTTTGAAGAATAAGTGGATCTGAGGAAAGGAATTTTGCCATATGTGCTGCATAGCCTGAACGTGATGCTCTCCCCATCTGTACACTTGTACATTGGAGCTGCCACATGGCTAGATGTGATGAGGGCATATCTACTAGCCTGGTTTTGAGTCTGCTGTCCCTTTCTAGGATGTATTTGAGTTCCGTTATGCCAAAATGCCAGATGAACCACTGGAACCAGGGCCCTTACCAGTCTCTACTGCCTTGCCCCCTGGTTTGGCCAAGTCATCTTCAGAGTCCTCCAGCGATGAAAGTAGCAGTGAGAGTTCTTCTGAAGAAGAAGAGGAGGAAGATGAGGACGATGAAGAGGAGGAAGAAGAGAGTGAGAGCTCTGACTCCGAGGAAGAAAGGGCTCATCGCTTGGCTGAACTACAGGAACAGGTATTCTATCACTGTTGAGTTTACTGGATGAGGTTCATGCTGTCTTGGCTTAATTTTTTTTTTTAGTTTTTAATTTTTTTTTTTTTTAGTTTTTATTGCTTAACCTATGTATTTTTTCAATTTAATTTCTCTTTTCTCTCAAGCTTAGAGCAGTACATGAACAACTCGCGGCCTTGTCCCAAGGCCCAATATCCAAGCCCAAGCGAAAGAGAGAGAAAAAAGAGAAGAAGAAGAAACGGAAGGCAGAGAAGCACCGGGGCCGAGCTGGGGTTGATGAGGATGACAAAGGGCCTCGGGCACCCCGCCCATCACAGCCCAAGAAGTCCAAGAAAGCAGGTGGCAGTGGGAGTGGCGGCACTGCTACACTAGGTCCTCCTGGCTTTGGACCTTCTGGAGGAGGTGGCCCCAAGTGAGTTCTAACAGGGAAGGAAGCAGGGATTTCTCCCATTGCTTGCAAAAGTTTTCTCTGAATGGGGCCAGTGATTTTTTTTCTAATGTTAAGTGTCCAGATGATGAAATAGACCTTGAAGAACATAGGGTCTTTAGAAGCTGCTTAACTCTTGACAGTGTAATCTGCCTACCCCTTCTCTAAGCCAGAGTCTATACTTTTTTGTATATTTTTTTTTCTGTAGTCAGGGATGGGTTAGTCCTTTAGGTACCAAAAAAAAAACCCTGTGCTGACATACTTGTATTTTATTTTTCAAAGCCCAACCAAGATTAATATAAAATACTTGCTGTGTAAAGCTCTGCTCCCGATACGCAAGTGTCCTATAGCCCGTCTCTGATTCACTCATTTGCCTTAATGGAAACAGTTCTTCAGGCGTAAAATCCAGATCACTGGATTTGAACAGTGAGAATGTGTTGAGGAGGTAATGTGTTCCCCCAACTGATAATTTTCTTTTGCTCAGACTCCCCAAAAAGGCCGCAAAGACAGCCCCACCTGCCCTGCCTGCTGGCTACGACTCGGAGGAGGAGGAAGAAAGCAGGCCCATGAGTTATGATGAGAAGCGGCAGTTGAGCCTGGACATCAACAAGCTGCCCGGGGAGAAACTGGGTCGTGTCGTGCACATAATCCAAGCCAGGGAGCCCTCTTTACGTGACTCAAACCCAGAAGAAATTGAGATTGATTTTGAAACACTCAAGCCGTCCACGCTTAGAGAGCTTGAACGTTACGTCCTTTCCTGCCTGCGAAAGAAACCTCGGAAGCCGTATAGTGAGTATGAAATGAGATCCCCAAGTTAACTTAGCAACAAATCCTTGTGTGGTTCTGAGGACAATTTAGAGAAGGATGGTGGGGAGGTGTGCTTGATGTTCCTGGGATGATGGGTTGCATTAATAGTTGCTTAAGTTCAGGAAAGGCATTTGGCAACAGCAGGGTCAAGGAAACCAGAGTGCTCCTGGCTATGTTAGTCCTGGTTTGTTTCTTTTCTAGCTATTAAAAAACCTGTGGGAAAAACAAAGGAGGAACTGGCTTTGGAGAAGAAGCGGGAACTAGAAAAGCGGTTACAAGATGTTAGTGGGCAGCTCAATTCTACCAAAAAGCCCCCCAAGAAAGGTGAGTGTCCCATAAGCCACTGTGAATTCATTCTATCCTGCTCTCTTGGCTCTTGGTTCTTCAAAAGTGGAATGTAGACTTACACATCTTTAAACTTCACCTGTGTTCTTTAGCGAGTGAGAAAACAGAGACATCCTCAGCACAGCAGGTAGCAGTATCCCGCCTCAGCGCTTCCAGCTCCAGCTCGGATTCCAGCTCCTCCTCTTCATCTTCCTCCTCTTCAGACACCAGTGATTCAGACTCAGGCTAAAGGGCCAGGCCAGATGGGGCAGGAGGCTCCGCAGGACCGGACCCCTAGACCGCCCTGCCCCGCCCGCTCCCTCCCTGTGCTGACACTCCTCATCTCACCCCTCCCCCCTCTGTGAGAGAGCTGGCTCTGCAGGGGTGGGGGACGGAAAAACGGACAAAGGAGGACTGAGCTCCCAGCCCCATGGAGAGTGCCCTCTTAGGCATAGAGCCCCCATTCAGAATGGCTGGGGCAGGCAGGGGTATCGGGTGGGAATGGGCAGAGGCCCTGATACGGCCTTACCTGAGGCCACAGCTGCCCTGTTCACTTAGAAGGGCCCTGTTTTGAGATTGTTTGTTTTAATTTATTTTAAGCTAGGTAAGGCTGAAGAGGGGTGGTGCCATGGTCCCTCAGCTTCCATGGGGAGGGAGGAAGGGGGAGCTCTTTTTTTACGTTGACTTTTTTTTTCTACTCAGTTTTCCCTTTTCCTTCTGCTCCATTTGGGGCCCCTGGGGGTTTCAGTCATCTCCCCAATTGGTCCCCTGGATTGTCTTTTCTTTGTCTGTTGATTCTAACTTGTAAATAAAGAAATATTATTCATGTTCTGAGTTCATTACCTTAATAATATTTGTTCTTGTAGTTGCTTCAAAACGAATACACTTGAGAATTTTGAGGAATGTATATCAGGGTGGGGGGCAGTGGGCAGGAAGAAGGATCATCCTGTTTTAAATAAATCAGTCAGCTGTTGGCTGTGATAAAAGTGCATCTGTTCTTTGTAAAGTGAATCCTCCAAAATAACAAGGTTCAGAGTCTGGTCTGATTTACATGCAGCCAACACCTGGCTCCTTCGGCCAAGAGTTTCAAACTCAGGACTTTGAACAGGCTCAGATTTTTCTCCAGTCATGGATGTGTGGATTGTCTCCTGAACACTTAAGTTACCAGGTAGATGTGAAAGAGATGAGAGTAGCCAACAGTGGGTTCCCTCTTGCATTGGGCATCTGCCTGAAGGGGCAGGTGTGCCTATTTTCATAATTTGCTGGTTTGGCTTCAAATTGCATGTTTGCAGAGCTTTGCAAAGTTGCCTAATAGAAATGCCAATTCACAGGATTCCAGCAGTCTACCAAACGGAAATCACAGAAACTCGTTTGTACAAGTCTATCCCTTTCTCTTGCTTAAGACAGAAGGGCTCTGTAGTTACAAATGAAACATTTGGGTTCCAGAATTTGGGGCCTTACACCATACAAAAGCAAGAGCTTTCAGTGTAATGGGCATGGTAGAAACTAATTTTTAAATGAAGGCTGGCTTATTCTATATGTTGCCAGAAACATGTAGAAATGATTGTGGTGATTTTGGAAATGGCAAAAGGTTGGGTTCTGGGAGAATCTCAACTCTTGTATGTGGACTCCAGAGCTGCTGAAAGCTAGTAACTTGGAATTGCATCTGAAGATTTTTTTGGCCATACCCTGTGGTTTGTGTGATCTTCATTCCCTGGCCAGGGATTAAACCCATGCTGGCAGTGAAAGTACTGAGTCCTAACCACTGGACCCCCAGAGAATTGCCTAAATTCTTAAATTGAGACCTGAGGAACAGCTCAAAGAGATTGTAACACACAGGCAGGGTTGAGCTCGCTTGTAGTTTTGCAAGGGCCTTGGATTTTTAAAGGGGAGGAGACCCGTGAGGGGGCTTCGAGCCAGCTTGTGAGTCTTTTGAGTGAACTCCAACTGCGTTTAAACTCTTGTCCTGAAAGTTCAGAAGTACTTAATTGGAGTGGGATAGAATTTAACCTGGAAGAATAAATGATTTCAATTAGATGTGTGTCTTTGCCTAGCACTATGTCACTTTTTTTTTTTGGACGGGTATTTTTTAAATATTTTTTTATATATTTTTTTTGATGGGTAATTTCATAAGGAAATCAAAATTCATTCATTTCTAATTCTACAGCTTGAAAATTGAGATACAACTTTTTGAAGTGCCAGCTTACAAAATGACTGTGTCACACTTAAAAGGGGGAGGTTTGAGTTAGTTTGGCAAGGAGACCAGTTAGAATCTTAATGTCTGTGGCTGTGTCCCCTTCAAGTATTTTTAAATTGTGGTTTGGGAATATAAAGATTTCAACTCTCAAAAGGTAGGTGACTTTACCTGTTGTTCAGTTGCTAAGTTGTGTTTGACTCTGCAACCCAATGGACTGCAGCACACCAGGCTTCCCTGCTCTTCACCATCTAGAGTTTGCTCCAGCTCATGTCCATTGAGGACATCCAATGATCCCAACCTCTGTCACCCCCTTCTGCCCTCAGTCTTTCCCAGCATCAGGGTCTTTTCCAATGAGTCAGCTCTTCTAATCAGGTGGCCAAAGTATTGAGAGCTTCAGCTTCAGTCCTTCCAGTGAATATTTAGGATTGATTTCCTTGCAGTCCAAGGGACTCAAGAGTCTTCTCCAACACCAGTTCAAAGGCCTCAATTCTTTGGCACTCAGCCTTCTTTATGGTCCAACTCACACCCATAAATAAGTTGGAAAAACCGTATCTTTGACTACAGATTCGGTGGCAAAGTGATGTCTGCTTTTTAATATGTTGTCTAGGTTGGTCATAGCTTTTCTTCCAAGGAGCAATCATCTTTTGTTAATTTCATGGCTGCAGTCACTGCAGTGATTTTGGAGCCCAAGAAAATCTGCACTGTTTCTTTTTTTTCCTATTTGCCATGGCTTCCCTGGTGGCACAGATGGTAAAGAATCTGCCTGCAATGCAGGAGACCCAGGTTCAATCACTAGAGAAGATCCCTAGGAAGATCCCCTAGAGAAGGAAATGGGAACCCACTCCAGAATTTGCCTGGAAAATCTGATGGACATAGGAGCCTGGTGGGCTACAGTCCACGGGATCACAAAAGAGTCGAACACAGCTGAGTGACTGACATTTGCCTTGAAGTGATGGGACTGGATGCCACGCTCTTAGTTTTTTGAATGTTGAGTTTTAAGCCAGCTTTTTCACTTCCCTCTTTCACCTTCATCAAGAAGCTCTGTAGTTCCTCTTCACTTTTTGCCATTAGAATGGTATCATCTGCATATCTCATTTCTCCTGGTAATCGTGATTCCAGCTTGTGCTTCATCCAGCTGGGCATTTCATGTTATGTACTCTGCATAGAAGTTAAGTGAGCAGGGGGACAATATACACCCTTAATGTATTCCTTTCCCAATTTTGAACCAGTCAGTTTTTGCATGTCTTGCTCTAACTTGCTTCTTGACCTACATACAGGTTTCTCGGGAGGCAGGTAAGGTGGTCTGATATTCCCATTCCTTTAAGAATTGTCCACAGTTTGTTATGATCCACACAGTCAACAGCTTTAGCGTAGTCAGTGAAGCAGAGGTAGGTTTTTTCCTGGACTTCTGCTTTTTCTATGATCCAACAGATGTTGGCAGTTTGATACTTGGTAAGAGAAAGCAGCCTGGCTTATCCCCTGGACTGCAAAACAGGCTGAGACTGGGTGAGAGTGCCTCTGGACCTGGTTTACACCTCCTACCTTCCACCTTAAGTAGGCAGTTTACCAGTGTTTGTGGATTTCTTGAGCATAAGTCTGTTGGTAGAGTCTTTGTCTTGGTCGCTGACCTTTGAAGTTGCCCTATGGCCCTTTGACTTACTTTTTCCCTTATCGAATTTGCTGGTCCAAACCTTAGCTCTACCCCCCATCCCGTCTGCTTGAGGCATTGTAATGGTTTCAGGAGTCTGATTCCCATCTTAGTTGAAATTACTGCCTTCCAAAGTAACAAGCCACTTCCCTGGAGGCTCAGACAGTAAAGCGTCTGCCTACAATGTGGGAGACCCGGGTTCAATCCCTGGGTCAGGAAGATCTCCTAGAGAAGGAAATGGCAACCCACTCCAGTATTCTTGCCTGGGAAATCCCATGGACAGAAGATCGATAGGCAACAGTCCATGGGGTCACAAAGAGTTGGACACGACTGAGCGACTTCCCTTTCACTTTAACAAGCACAGTCTCCAGCTCAACCAGGAGGAAAAACAACTATGGGGTCCTACTGTGGGCAGTATTTCCTCCCATGCTCTTAATTTCCAGTTCTTTTCTGTAAGCATCAGTTCCACTGCTTCTGCTTTTATTTTTCCCTATTTCATGCCATTTACTCATCTTTAATGCTTCCATTCAATCAACACATTTTATTGAGTTCTTTTGATTGTCTTTCTTTTTCAACAAACAGCATTACAGCAATACACCTAGACGTTGTCTAACTGTTAAGTCAGGAGGTGTGAGAGTGAAGATACAAGGCCCTTACCTTGTCTTTGAAGCGTTATCAGTGCAGTTAACTTTCCTGATGCAGTTATTGGACTGATCTGCTTCAAGATGAAGGTGTGACGTAATCTTCCAGATGATTCCTTCTAATTGAATCCCAGTGTGTACACCTCAGTTCAAGCCCTGCCTGCCTTGCTCTTGCATTCTCTCAGGACTATACTGACTAAAAAAACCTCGCTTCCCTGAGGGGCTCCTAGAATAAGCACCAAAGCTTGTTGGAGTTAACTGAAACTTGCCAAGAATAAGGCCGGGGAGGGCTCACCGAGCAATGAGAAAGGGACTTGGAGAGCTGGGGAGGCTGAGCACTAAAGAACTGGTGCTCTCGAACTGTTCTGGAGAAGACTTGGGGCTTCCCTGGTGGCTTAGATGGTAGAGAAAATCTGCCTGCAGTGCAGGAGACCCAAGTTCAATCCCTGGGTCAGGAAGATCCCCTGGAGAAGGGAATGGCAACCCACTCCAGTATTCTTGCCTGGAGAATCCGTGGGCAGAGGAGCCTGGTGGGCTAGTCAATGGGGTCACAAAGAGTCGGACACGACTGAAGTGACAGCACAGAAGATGTTTTGAGAGTCCCTTGGACAGCAAAGAGATCAAACCAGTCAATCCCAAAGGAAATCAACCCTGAATATTCACTGGAAAAACTGAAGTTTGAAGCTCCAATACTTTGACCACCTGATGCTGGGATAGATTGAGGGCAGGAGAAGAGGGCGACAGAGAATGAGATGGTGGGATGGCATCACCGACTCTATGGACATGAGTTTGAGAAAGCATCAGGCGATAGTGAAGGACAGGGCAGCCTGGCATGCTGCAGTCCATGGGGTGGCACAGAGACATGGCTAAGGGGCTGAACAACCGCAACAGAGTTGGGAAGGGGACGGAAGGGTGGACGAAGCTGACCTGGCGATGCAGTGACCTCCGTCCTCCTTCCCCTTGCCTGGATCATCACCCTAGTCCCATCTTGGCAGAATCCCTCTTTCTGTCTCCATAGTTTACATGCTGGGAATAGGGACAGAGTGATATTAGACAACCAGTCCCAGTTTTTAATAAAAATTGTAAGTTGTAGCAGCACCATATGCAAAGATCTGCAAAGAATGTAGAAGAGAGGGTTCTGATCTGAGACTTCTGAGAACTGTTCAGACAGATCTGGAAACTGTCAGGGAGGATGGGAGTGCATGGTGCCAGCAGGAGAAACAGTGATGGGAGTTTCCTGGGGTCCAGAGGTTAGGACTCCATGCTTTCACTTCAGTGGCCTGGGTTCAGTCCCTAGCGGGGAAACTGAAGTCCTGCAAGCCAAGCAGCCAAAAGAAAAGAAAGAAAAGAAACCGTGATGATAACTGCCTGAGAACAGGCTGTGCTGATGCAGCAGGAAAGGGTGCGGGCTTCCAGATAAGGTCAGAAAGTTGGGCAGAGCTGGATCAAAGGCTGCCGTAAAAATTTGAATGTTTATCCTGAAGGTTTTCGTAACAACTCTCATTTATCAAGCAATTACGGTGTACCAAGCACTGTGCTAGAAGCAAACTATAAGCTCATATGGCCCTCATTCTAGTCCTATTTTTCTTTTTTCTTTTTTCTTTTTTTTTTCACATTTATTTTTATTAGTTGGAGGCTAATTACTTTACAATATTGTAGTGGTTTTTGTCATACATTGACATGAATCAGCCATGGATTTGCATGTATTCCCCATCCCGATCCCCCCACCACCCAATCCCTCTGGGTCTTCCCAGGGCATCAGGCCCGAGCACTTGTCTTATGCATCCAACCTAGTTGGTGGGAATGCAAACTAGTACAGCCGCTATGGAGAACAGTATGGAGATTTCTTAAAAAACGGGAAATAGAACTGCCATATTTTTCACTTTCACAACCTGGCTAGGAACCGCTACACTGGACTCCCAATGCCGTGGGTCGGTGGGGAGCTAGGAGACGCAACTCCTCAGAAGAAATTGCAGTAAGGAGAGTCACGTCAGGTTAGCAGGGCAGTGAGGATGGAGGTAGGGCCACAGTTTAGAAGGCCGCGGCAGTGGTGGGCCCCCACCTGAGTACAGTGGTTTGGAAGCATGAAGAGACGCAGGTGGGTTTGAAAGCTATGCAGGAGAAACAAATGGATGGGACTATTCTCTGAAGGTTCTTATTTTATCTCCACATGCCAAAGGAAGAGAGCTCTCCAGCAGTGGAAGCCTGATGGCTCCTTACTAAAGGAAGGCCGCCGGCTGACTGTCAGAATTGAACGCAAGTCCAGGAGGCTCACCTAAGGAGGAGCAGTGCTGTTCTGCAGTGTGTTTGACTCTTTGCAACCCCGTGGACACCAGACTTACCTGTCCTTCACTGTCTCCCGGAGTTTGCTCAAACCCATGTCCATTGAGTCGGTGATGCCATCCGACCATCTCATCCTCCGTCGTCCCCTTCTCCTCTCGCCTTCAATCTTTCCCATCAGGGTCTTTTCACATGAGTCAGTTCGTCCCATCAGGTGGTCAAAGTATTGGAGCTTCAGCTTCAGCATCAGTCCTTCCAATGACTATTTGGGCTCCCCTGGTGGCTCAGATGGAAGAGAGTCCACCTGCAGTGCAGGAGACCAAAGTTCAATCCCTGGGTTGGGAAGATCCCCTAGTATGGCCACCCACTCCAGGAGCCGTGGCTACCCACTCCGAGAGAATGGCTATCCACTCCAGTATTCTTGCCTAGAGAATTCCACAGACCAAAGAGCCCGGCGGGCCGCAGTCACAAAGAGTTGGACACGACTGAGCGGCTGACAGGTCTGGAAAGGATGCTGAGGCCCGGGTTCATCCCCGCGGAGGGTCTTGGCGCCACCTGGTGAGCGTGATGGCCATGACGTCCTCCTGAATCTCCATGCTGAATATTTTTGTATCCACCCTTCCAGCTCTAGGTCTTTCTTTCCTCCTCACCTGCTCTCCTTCAGCTCTTGAAACATGAGCCTTCACTTCTCTGACCCAGAGACCCTTGTCTCCCTTTACAAGCTCTCAGCCTCCCTGGTTCTTTGACACCCCAGCTTCTTAGCGCTCATCCTCTGTAGTCAGCCCTTCTTGGTCATTTTCTCCAGAGTCCCTGCTTCAGCTTCCACAACACGGTGTTGTCCATCATGTTACCTCCCTTTCCCTCTTCTCCTTATTGGCACAGTATTTCTAAGCAATTTCCTCTATTCCTCTGGAGGCAACTCCCACTCATAAAGTCTATCTCTGTCTTGACCTTGCTCCAGAGTTCTAAGTCTGTTTTTCAATAGCCTCATAGCAATGTCCCATAGGCTCCTGGCACTCTACACACATCCAAAAAAGATCCTGTCTTTTCCCCAAACGTGTTTCTGTGAGTTGCCCATTTATGTAAGAAGCACTTTGTACAGAAGCCCCTTGTTAATGTGCCAAACACTTAAAATCCCTTTAAAATGAAGTCCTGGACTGTCTGCCCTCTTAGCGCAGTAGGCAGCGTGTCAGTCTCATAATCTGAAGGTCCTAAAATGAAGTCCTGGGGGGAGAGGGGGGAAGGGATAGATTGAGAGTTTGGCATTGACAGGTACACACATGTTATATTTAAATAGATAACCGGCCTTCCCTGGTGGTCCAGTGGTTAACAATCTGTTTTGCAATGCGGGGGACACAGGTTCGATCCCTGGTCCGGAAAGATCCTGCATGCCGAGGGGCAGCTAGGCCCGTGCCCCACACCACTGAGCCCGTGCTCCCCAACAAGACAAACCTCCACTGTGAGAAGCCTGCACACGGTCACTGGAACCGCCCCCAATCGCGGTGATGCAAGGAAGCCCCCGGGCAGCACCAAAGCCCCAGCACAGCCAGAAACAAAACAGAGAGCCAGAGGCAGCCAGCAAGGACCTAACATAGCACAGGGAACTGCCCAGTGTTCGGCAATAACCTGAGTGGGAGAAGGATTTGAAGAGTAGACACGTGTCTTAGTATCAGCGGAGCCCTTTGCTCTACACCTGAAAGTAACACAACGCTGTCAATCAACCATCCTTCAATTTAAAAAATTAAACACTTAAAAATAAAATGAAGTCCTCCACTTCACTCGATATGGTGTAATGACCTGTATGGGAAAACAGTCTAGCAAAGAGTGGATGCATGTATGTGTGTAACTGACTCACTCTGCTATGCAGCAGAGACAAACACAATGTTGTACATCAACTATAAAAACACTCAGTCTTTAAAAAATACATAAATAAAATGAAGTCCTCACAATAACCCCACAAACTGATACGCATCACCCTTTTACAAATGAGGAAACTGAGGCTCAGAGCCATTCGGAAGCAATCCCGCAGCAGGTCAGTAGCCGAGTCAGGGTCATAACGCACCACACCCCCCCCGGGACGCTCCAGCCAGACGGGGTCTGGTGACCAGCCTGCGCCCCCTTCTCTGCTCAGCCAGCAAGGCCTCTTGAGTTCCCTCTGTCACTTTCCCCTTTTGGTGCCCCCTCCAGCTGGAGTCTCACAACTCTCTTTTTCCTAGGTCTCTTTTTTTTTTTTTGGCCCCGTGGTTTGCAGGATCTCAGTTCTCGGGCCAGGTATGGAATCCCAGTCCTTGGCAGTGAGAGCGCCGAGTTCTGGCCGCTGGACCGCCAGGGGAGTCCCTTCTTTCTAGTCTTCTAGTCTCAGTGCTACTGCCACTGACTCCACCCCACGTGGGCCCCCACCCACCCGCATTCTTGCTGCCAGGGGGATCACTGAGAAAAGAAATCCAGTCATGTTGCTTATTACCTCTAAGGTTTAAACTCCTTTGCAAGGCCTCTCTCCAGCTCTTGCTACATCCAGAAAATTATATCCCTCATCCACCCTTCTCTGAACCCTGTGCTCAACTCAGCCAAAGAGAGACCTTCCCAGATTCTCCCCGGCTTTTTACCGCCACTGGACCTTGGCACACGCTCTTTTCTCTGCCCAGAATATGCTCTTTCCAGCATCAGCAAGTCCTACATAATCTCCAAAAGCAGCTTGTCACCTCCACTGCGAAGGTAATGTTGCCTGTCCGTCCCCCATGACACATCCGCACACACCTTCCAGGGGACCCTACTGAGCTTGCAGCCATGTTCAGACCCCTCCTTCACCCACTTCCCAGGCCCCAGCAGCAGCATCGAGTTTTGTGGCTCCTCACACGGTGTCCACGCGGCTGTTGTCAGCAGCCTTTGAGGACTCCCCCGGTGAACCGACTGACCACTTCCTCTTTCAGTTCACACCTAGCTTCCTTCCTCCTTAATTTTGCCCCCTTGGACACGTTTCCCATAGCTCCTTTGTGAAGTAGGAACTATATCTTATTCTTTAGATCTTTAACCTGCCCAGTGCCTGGGGAAAGACTTTAAGCATAAACAAACCATAGGGAACTTCCCTTGTGGTCCAGTAGCTAAGACTCTGAGCTGCCAATGCAGGGGACCCGGGTCCGACCCCAGGTTGGGGAGCTGAATCCCACATTCAGCAACTAAGTGCTCACACTCGGCAACTAAAATCACACATACCACAATTAAGATCCAGCACAGTCAAATATATAAATATTAAAAAAATAATAGTGATGAGACCACCTTGGTATCTGCATCCATCCCTATGCTCCAGCATAGATCCCCAAACCAGTCTCACCGGCCCTGCCTTAGGGCTGGCAGGCGGGGAGCTGACGTCGGGACGGGCTCGTCATTAAGGCTGTCGTTAAAGGTAAAGGTAGGGCAGACAACCCTCCCGGGTTTCCCCAGGGTTGAGGAGTTATGCTGGACATGGGACTTTTAGCAATAAAACTGAGGAAGTCCTCTGGGCAAACTGGGACGGGTGATCATGTCACGAATGGGAGACGAGGTCTTCACTCGGAAGTGGAGGAGACAGAGCTGATGGACACCAGGCTGAACCACTATCACGGTTCTGTGCTCGTCCCTTTCACACTCCACCTCCTGATGCACCTAGCATTCGACTCCCGATCGTTACCGTCTGTTACACCCACTTCACAGAAGAGAAAACAGGTTCAGAGAGGCCTCAACCACTGGTTCCGTAGGCCATGTCTTTCTGCTAGACATGCTGTCTTCGGGGTCCTTCAACCGCCTCCTTCCCTGGTGCCTGCCTCCTCCCCTCCAGAACAGTAGCCTCCCCTGGCGGGGTGCCAGGCCAGTCACCTCCAGGGGGGCCTCACCTCAACCTAAGATGGCCAGGATAAGACTAGCTTCTTGTCAAAGTAAGAGGAACCCACCATCCTTGCCAAACTTCAATTATTCGTGTGCCCTTGTATAGCAAGTAAATGTTGATACGCAATAAGATATTTCTCATATGCGCTTGCCAGATGAGGACACTGCTATTCTTGTCAAGTAAGCTAATGTTTGATTAGAAAATAGAGGAGAAAAGGGATTTATATCTCCAGTAATAAGATTTTTCTGCCGGGTGTTCATTTGAAAAACCAGTATTACTGAAATGCTGCCTATCAACCATACTCACAGAATCATTGCTCCTATAATTTCTGATACTATGAGAACATAACACTGGCTAATCACCAATACTTTCTTCTCTTCTGCCCCTGCAATGGGCTTCCCCAGAAAGGTAGGTTGTAGAGACACTGAGTTCCTCCCAAAATGGTTATTTCCTGTCTTCCTGACTAGACTTTGCTTTTCATTTATAGTTGCTACAGAAAAAAAGGAGACAGTTTCGTAATTTCTCTCATCCTTTTCTTCTCTTTCTTAAAACCAACCAACCAAACAAAACAATGGTTTTCTAAGTCTGCTTGTATGTTTCTAATCTAAGTAACCCCAGGGAAAGAAAAGCGGAAAAGTTACTAACAGGATGATAGTTGTAAGTGGTCAGAAAGCCTCGCGTCTCTATCGAGTGAAGCTTCCTGCTCTTTGGTGGGAAGTAGGGGTGGCTCTTCTCCTGGCTGCACGGCCACCACAACCTGTCGTTCTACGTTCTTGATTTGAGAGAGAGCAAGTGCCATCCCACACGCCCCACCCCGACACGCTCACACACTCACACACACGCGCGCGCGCACGCCTCTCGACACCTATGCTGCACCTTCTGTCCCCGTACATAAGGAGTTCCCATAACTTGGCCCCGAGTCCCCTGAGGTCTGGTCAGAGGCTTCGTGCTGATACTGGCCATGAACCTTTGCTTCTATGTCTACTTAAAATTCTGCATCCCATTCCCGATCTGACCCCAGCCACAATGACCCGACCCCCAGCTGAGGGGCTGAGAACAGCCCCCAGGATTAGGCTCTTCCATCACTGCCTTTGGTCTCACAAATAGACCCTGCCAAGCCCCACTGTGATTTAAGCCATGATTCGGCCAGGAAGAAAAATCGAATGAAATACAGAACGACAACCAACCGAGGCAGCAGCTGGGGGTTGAGAAGCAGGTTCAGAGAGCAGCTCTATGCATGGGAACAGCGGTTCGACCTTGTTTCAGAGCAACATAGAAAACCAAACAGAAAGGGGCTTGTTTCTGCCGAGCGTGGGCAAGCTGAAAGAGGAGAAAACCAGGGAAAAGGAATCGACACTTAACTGAGACAGTGCCGTCAACCTCACTGTAGTGATCCCTTTAGTCCACAGAACATCCCTATTACATATGTTTTAGAAGAAATACTGACTTGATGTGTGTAAGATCATGGAATTGGTGAGACAGGGAAATGCTGATTTCAAAGTTTATATCCTTTCTTCTATGCCCATTGTTTCTGGTTATATTATAGATACAAGCAAAAAAGGAATTCAGAAACGAAAATTTGAAAAAAAAAATTCAGATATTGTTTACTCCACCAAACAGAATGGAAGAACAAGG